TGAGTGGAACAAGAAGGAGAACTCATTTACATGGAAAAAAATAAGTTGACATTTATGGAAAAATATTTAAGACCAACCTTTTGGTGGCGGTGGCGGTTTCGGTACACGCAAAACAATAGATTTTTCTTCGCCAGGTTCATTGCCATTCAAGTTATCGTCATCATCCATGCTGTTTTTGTTTTTTTTTTTTTTATAATATTTTCAAATGTAAAAAGTAAGTAATTAAGTTTTTTTAAGAAATAAGAATGGAAAATATCTTTAATAATTTTAATATTATTTTACCTTTTCACTAGAAAATGTATTTTTTTGCCTGCGGCGTCAATTTTTTCGTGTGCCTGGGCAAGCGTTAATTGTGTGGCGTCTTCTTCGTTTATTTCAAGAATAATATCACCCAAACGTATGCCGCTCTTGTCAGCTAAACCGTCTGGGGTAACCTAAAAAAATGATTTAAGTTAATAAAAGATAAAACCAAATTAATTGCACTTAATTTTGAGAATTTATATCTATATCAAATTTTATTTATTCACAATGTTTTTGAAGTAATTACTTTGTCTTTCTTAGTTTTGTTTAATGGAAATATGCCTTCGCGACAGCCAACAACTACTGCAGATAATGCTACAACACCGAATGAACACTGACAAAAAATTAACAATAATCTTAGGCAAATATTATAAAGTTTTTACTTTTGCTGCGCTAAATTAAACATTTTAACCCACTTAGGAAAGCCAAATTATACTACAGTCGGCAGTTGGCCATTATTTCATTGACGAGATAAAGCAACTGTGGATTATAGACATAAAATAATTTTTCTTATACATTGTGAAAGTTTAATATGTTTACAACTAGGTTAATTACAAATCGATGCTGGCAACCAATCCTAGAAAAACTTTAACATTTCAGCAATTTGAGTTACAAAAACCTATCAACTATTTAAATAAAATATAGGCACATACTTTTTGTTTCATTATTTAATCACACATAAAAGACAATCACTTCAGGTTTCTTGTTAATATCTCATAATCGCATATTTAATAAGAACCTATATTAAATAAACACCTTTTCAACACCTACGCAAGTACACGAAAATATCCGAAACAGCTGTTTTGAGAAGCTTAAGATGCATATTAAACCTTCAAATATACATATTAACCCTTTGTTCTACCAAGAAGAGATTACCCTATTGTAACTACATTAAAAGTCCGTGTACTCTTAAAAGCATACCAGTTTTGGGTAGTTTATGGTTTCTACAAACTATATCCAGTAATTTCTATACACAGGTAGTTGTCTCAGTTCATTGAGATATATGTCAATCTCCATCTAACCATCTAATGCCTTCCGGATTTCGTGTTAGGACCATATGTGGTACGGCATTACATATTTTAAAGATGTTGTTCTTTTATATCCATCCGTATTTCTTTACTCCAATGGTAATATTGATTTGATAACTTGACAACGTTAATGCTATATGTTAGGCATATTCTTCAGTTATCAGACTTGAAAGTGTGGATATTTTTAAGATGTTATTCATTTATATCCATCCATATTTCTTTACTCCAATGGTAATATTGATTTGATAACTTGACAACCTTAATGCTATATGTTAGGCATATTCTTCAGTTATCAGACTTGAAAGTGTCTGAAGAATTACTTGCTATATTCATTACTTACTATATTCAGATATGAGATTTCTTCTCATTTCTGATAACGTATATAAAAAAATGGCTATTGCAAACATAAAAAAAGTGTAGAGCAATAAAAAAAATTCAATTTTTACTATATATTTCTAATTAACGCAATATGCTCGTACGAGTGCCCTACCTACTTGCTGAAGTTGGGGAAAGCAATTATTTTGATTTTACCACACGATTAGATACCATAAAGTTGTCCAATGATGTATATCTGTAAGTGTCGCATATAGAAGATGTTGTAGTCAATTATTTTATCAAACGTGTTAGTATTATCAATAAACAGCAAACAGTCAATGACTCTGCATTATGATTTAAAATAATTAAGTTGGAAATTTGACTGATACAAAAAATTAAGTTTTTTTTTCAAAGTTATCATATTCAGCGAGGTTTTCTTGCTTTTGTAGCTTTGTACTGAGCGGGTTAACCGTTTTAGCGACAAAGTCAAATCAAGTCTTAGACATTCTGGTAGCTTATCACCAGATTTCTAATGATCTTTGATCTACGAACAGATATCGGAACGGATATTTTATAGCATAAATCACTACCGTCAGTACAGACCGTACAGACCCAATATGAAGCACACGAAAATATATATGAAAGCCCATATTTTAACTGAATACTATACTTTCATTGTCCTGATGAAATTAATAGCAGTAAACAATTGGATTTAAGTGAATACAATTAATTTTTCTATTATTTTAGCAATCGATTTCTATGACAGTTCGAAATATTATTTTAAACTGCCCTCATGAACTCTTGTTATTTATGCCTTTCATATAGATTGTGCCACTTCTGTGTTCATCGGACTTAAAATTGCTTTCTTCAAAGCAAATAAAATTTTTAAGAAAATATTACCATCTATCTATCTACTTCAGATTCCGCTGAATTTAAATTTAAATTACTTGTTATAATTTACTTAATTTACTTAAGCAACTTTAATTAATTTCATTTATTTAATTTAATTTTAATTTTAAATTGAATTTATTAGTTAGATATTAGTTTACCCGAAAATTATACCAACTTTCATTGTGGAATAAACTTAAAACCTTTCTGTCAGAACTACTTATTTTTGTAAACATTTTATGTATAAAGTAATAAAAAAATATACCCTTTTTATAATAAAAAAAAAAACAATAGAAAAATTATTGACTTTGCCGACTTAACTTTATATAAAATACGGTATGATAGACACAATCAGATAATAGCTACCTTTATCACATATATGAGATAATTGAGTTAACGTTAGAATTAACGAGATACAAAACAAATAATCTGAAAAATCCGCAAATATTACTTCAACACTCACTTCAACGATCTTATTATTTATATTATTCATATTTCGCAACATAATAGATTTCAATAAAATAAATGGATAATATAGGTAGACAGAAGTAACTTCTTTATAAAAACGAGGTGTTTCTTTTTATTTAAATTATTTTAATTAATTATTTCTTGTTTTAAATTATTTATTTTAATTTTTTCTCTGCGTTTTTCTTTTAGCTTTTGTCTATTTATTCCACTAACATCCCAGTTGTTCGTTTGTGATTACTGTGATGTTGTGTGCTTGTATTAGCAAATATAAATGCAAGTAAGTAAGTTTGCATACAAAAGAATTTTTTATTTTCAGTAGAGTTTTATCTATTTTTAACTTAAAAGACAGGAATAAAATAGTAAGTTTACTTTGTTTATCGCATATTATCCCTTGTTGATTATATTTAACTCTATTCGACTTTGGAGATATTTAATTTATTTCATTTCAGCTAAAAGCCATTTTCAATAAAACGAATATTATCACTAAGTACCTATTCAATTAATAATGTTAATAATTGTATCCCATTTCTTCTTTTTAACTACTACTGTACAGTTGTGACATTAGGTCTGTTCCACGAGCTACTCGTAGTAACTTTGAGTAACACGGTGTATATACAAGTGCGTTTCACAAGCAAATTTTCGAGTTAATAAGAGCTTCTGAGAAAGCGTAACATCCCTGTTGAAATTTAAACCTATTATCTACACATTTTATATTAGAAACAACAAGCTTTTATGCTTATTGTCAACTTCAAAGATATCTTGAATGTCACTAGGAAGTGTCTACTAGTTATTTTTATATCTCAACATATATTTAATTCTGATATTAGAGCTACTTGAGTATTTCAGATCTCTGTACAACTTTGTGTAGGGTGCAAATTGTCATGAAAATAAGTTATTTTTGTAATAACCAAAACAATAAGTTCCTAAGCTACATTGTTATTGTTTTTAATTATTTTTTGTTTATAGTTTTTGGCACTGTTTTTATCAACAAAATTTTTTTAATTACTTAAATTTTGTTATGTATTTTAATATTTAAATAAATATTCCAATCTGTCTTAAAGCGTATGAACGTTTTCGTCGTTCGTACAACAACGTCAGTTGGGTGCTGTCAAAAAGACTTTGAGCAATTTGTAAAATTTTGGCAGCCTCTGTGCTGACTTGCAACAGAAAAAGTAATTGACGCATGTGGCACGAGTCGGATATGAAAATGTTAATTGATGTTCTACTTTTTTCTAATTTATGAACCATCAAGTGCAGCCAAAATTTTACTTATTAATTTTTACTTAATATTTTTAATAAAAATTACAAAATGTAAAATATTCATATTCTGAAGACATTTTTTATATATAATTTAATTTTTTTTTATAAGCAAAAAAATTGGGTCTTGTTTAAACATTAGAATATCATTAATCCTTTTAATTAAAAAAAATAGAAAAAAAAACAAAAATATAACAAAACTATAACGCATTCTATACCAAAACGTGATGAATATCGAAATAAAGTCTCTTGTATTTACGATTAGTTTACAAAAATACTAGAGCTCTGAGCTGAAAAATGTGATTTGAGGTAGAACAATATTTGAACTGACACATGATAGATATAAGATATTATATTTTGCAAATGTATTTTAAGTTGGTGATAGTCGTCGAAATGATCACTGATATACTATTAAAAAGACACTGATCTGAGTACTTACATCTAATCAAACTGTAATCGAAGTTAAATCGAAAGTCATTCTATCCAATGTCATATCTGATAAATTAAATAAACCTAACACCATACAGTCGAACACTAATATCTATCTTATATTATCATTTAATAAGCTAGCATATACAGCAACAAGTAACTCTAACCAACAATTATCCTATCTATACTAAGAGATTGGTAGGAAAGTCAAGCTCTCAGTTATTCTTTCAGTACCACACCTACAACTCTTTAAAATCTTCTCTTTGAAATGACACAGGAAAACTACAAAAAACTGATATCTGCATAAAATATTTAAAAAATATAAATTAATTAAAGTGATGCAAGTAACTCTTGCATCAAGACTTCCTAAAATAGTAAATCAATCAAATTCATATTGCTATTGACACCAAAATTATAACTGAAATCCATCCCCCGTTACCTTTCATGGTGACTCAGAAACTGGAAAATAAAATTAACGCAGATTACTTCCACAAGAAAAAAAATGCAAAAACGATTTGAGAAACCACACCAGTGAACTAGTTAGCCAACTCATAGATTCAAACGTTCATGTAGATGGACCTCATATGTGGTTTAAGATCACATATAAAAGTTTTGCTTAATAAATCGATTTGAGCCACTGAAGGTTTTGTTGTTCAATAATGTTCACTTATAAGTATTATGCATTGCTCTATGTTAACAGATAGTGATATGTATTTAACTTTAAAAAACAAAAACAGAAATGCGATCATCTGATAATGAAAGCCCTAAACAAACAAAACGACAGTCTACTTTTAATTCGCGATAGAGCCATTCTAATACTAAAACTAACCTCAAAAAATCAAACAATTATTACTTAGTGATAATTTTAGTCTTGACTAGAGATTCTACATTTTCTTAATTCTTAAGTTAGCATACATGTTAGACCCAAAATAACGAGTGTATACTTGAAAAAAGAAAAAATGATATTTTCCGCAATTACTATAAATTGCTGTTTATTAATCAAAGAGCATCCAAGATCTTTGACATTAAATTTTCATGAGTTTGATTGATTTGGATTAGAATAATTAGGTCACCTAAACTAGAGGAATAAAACAAAAAAAAAACGGGATTAAAAGTTTAAATCATCAATCATGCTTCCATCTTAAAGCCAATCTGAATACCTAAAAACACCAATCTGAAAAACAGTATCGTAAAAATTCTGCGATTCTAAAACAGAGACTTACTATAAAACTAATAGTTAGTGCACCAAATTATATTAGAAATTTTAACCTTCATCGCGATCCAGATGTTTATTAGTGCAGGGTATTAATTCTTAAAATGTTATGATTGCGGCGTCAGTACCACTCTAGGGAAATACTTAATAGGCCAACTCTATTTAACCTTATAGGAAACTAAAAGCGGCACCTATTTAACATATATAAATACATACAGCTATTTTTTATTTTATAAGTTTAACCACTCCAAATTACTTATTAATATATATATTATATTGTCTAATACTATTATAATTTCAAATTGAATCTATGTAGTTTCAAGAATCGCTGCACAAAAAATAAAATACCAAAGAAATTTTGTCATCTAAACAAATATAATTGTCAAGCAGTTGTATTTGATGAAGAAAAAATAAATTTTCCTCTTATATATTGAATAGAGTCATTATTATAAATGATTTATTCTCGATAGTTCTGAACTGAAACTAAAACATTTGGCCAAAATTATCTATTCTATTAAATAATGTATAACAGAATACCATTTACAATAATTTTTTAAATATAAAATATATTAATTCATCACTAAAGTCTGTTAACATTTGTTAGACAATAAGCCACAAAAAAATCTTATAACACGAAACAGAATAATATATAATATATTATAGTATAATTCTTACCTGAAAAACTGTCAACGGCATATGAAACTCTGCTCCGCCAGTTATAAGGAAACCCCACTTTGAATCATCTTTACTTGCGTATGCATCAGAATCAGTATCGAAGGCGGGAAAACCATCGGTATCACCGATACCGCACGATACTTTAATAACCGGTGGTTTTTTTGGCGGTTCCGGCGTGTACGAATACAACAAACCAAAATTAGCTTCCGGCATATTTAAATGTTTATTTTATTTTTTTAATTTTAATTCAAAATAAGCAATTAAAACACTTTCTTTGTTTGTTTTTATCCGCTCTTTTGTTTTTGAGTAACAAAATCTATAATAATTCACTCAGTTTTTTACTCAAAAATTATAAATAAAAATTTATACTGTAAAGAGCACTATACTAATTTTAAATAGATTTTATTTAATAAAAATAAAATATTTTAAAAACAACACAGTTGGATAATAGATATTATTTCAAATGTTTTTATTTTTTACATATGAAAAAAAAAAAAAAATATATATATATATATGTGAATAGTTAAGTAAATGTTTGCAATACACATAATATAAAAATAGATGGTCGCATAAATAACACAAAAAAATATTTGTCTTTAAAGTTTTGCAAGAGTACACATGTTCTCTTCGTATATATAATATTATATTATAATTATTTTTATTTAATTTTAGATTTTTGTGACATTTTATATAATATTGTATATATAATATATTAAATATTGAAAATCCGAAGTTTTAATCAAATTTGTATGGGACATGAAACGGGTATGATTGCTGAATTAATAACTACAAATTACTGAATTTGTATATAGTGTATTACTATAGAAAGATCTTTTATTACTTGCACATAAAAATAAATGTAAGAAATACATCAATTAATATTTAAGTACATTTATATATATACTTGTGGTTTATGCTTTTATTTTAACTATAGTACTAGCAGCATAACTGTGTTTAAAGATATAACAACAAATCAACACAACTTTAGAATTAATCTAAGTTTGTGATCTTTGATCTTAATTAACAGGCAAGTATGATAGGGTTCTGTATTCAATACTTGTACTTCAAGAACTATAGACGATGAATAACCACAAAAGGGGTGCTCAAATGCATTGGCTCAAATAGCTTCAACATAAAATTATTTAATATTTTAAAATCGACAAATTATAAATGTATCGGTCTCGAGTCTTAGAAATACTTATGTATGCATATGTAACATATATTTATTATTTGATTGCACATTAATTTAACGAAATGATTGCTTGAAAATGAATGCAGACAAGTGAATTGAATAAAAACGGCCTTCAACAACTACTGTAGAACAAGTAATGGGTCAGAAAAGAAAGGGTTACTCATTGTCACAGACACTTGTCAGAAGGTATTTAATCATTATTAACTTCTTATATATCTATCCAACACCAGTATTCGCAGCATGAACATAATGGTTGTCCAGTTCTAAAAGGCAAAATCTGTACTCAAAATTACTATAGTTAGCTAAAGTGTGGAAATTTCTTCGTTTTAATAGAAAAATTTTTCTTATTAAAGCACAAAAGAACCACACTTCTACAGGACGAATTACCAGTAACATCTATTTACTTCTCTACACGTATATTTATCGTCTTTTAGTAAGAAACATTTCATATATACTTTTGAAGAAATCTAATATTTTTAAAATTTTTTAATTAGTTTGTATTATAATTTGAAAACAATTTAATAATATATTTTTATACCAAAATAAAAAATTATTGAAATTATCATACATAATAAAAATTTTTTTTTAAAAAATAAAAATTATTAAATTTCAACAAAATGCTTTTTAATATTGATAAAACCAGGTTTTTTTTTAATATTTTTATATATTATTTTACGAAATACCGCATTAAAAAATATTAAAAAAAATTTAAGTAATTTTATATTCTCAATATATTTTTTATTTTTCAAAAAAAACTATTATGTCAGTTTTTGTTCCAACTTCCAACAAATCTGTAATTATTTTAAAACAATTCACATAGATTTTATTAAAATTTAAGAAAATTTCATTAATTTTATAGAGAAATTAATGTAACTCTACACTGTTACATAATAAGTAAAATATAATTGCACAATAACGCATTAAAAAAAAAATTATATATATTTTTAAAATTTAAATAAAACATTCAGTCTTATCGTTTTTTCCATTTATTAATTATTATAATATTTTTTAAATTAAATTTAAATATTTGATTTTTTTTTTAATTTTTGAAACTTCTTTACTCTAAAACATCCCAAACGGTTGCACTTTACAGACTAAATTTATTCTCATTTCGAAAATTGAAATTTTCTTTACATTTTTCGCTTGTGCAATAGAAAACTTTTTTTAGCACTTCAAATCTTTCATTTCTTCTACTTTTTACGATTGCATCGGTTTTTTAAACAAAACTCGATGGTTTTTTATTGTGTAGACTGTTACATCGACTGCCCCTCCGCCATCGCCTTTACAGCCCAACGTAAGTCTATTTGGGATAGGTTCATTGAAAACAATCGAATACTGTGACGGCAGCGAATGTAATTTGGTTTCGAAATCTCAAAAATTTTGTTTAACGCTCGGTGAATGTACGCAAAAATGACGTCGAGCCTTCCTCTATTTATTTTATTTATTGAGATTTTGCTATTTTTAATCTCCACAAAACTGAACAGTGGGTAAAATTATTAAATTTCCAAAATGAAAAATATCTATTTAATATTAGAAAAGACAAAAGAAAACGTAAATATATGCATATAGATATTGTTTATGGTCTCGAATTTCTCCGAAAACAGGTTTTATTCATGAAACCATTAATATCTCAAAAATCGTTTACTTTCTCTTCTATTTTCTGGTGAACAGCTTTTTAGTTCCCGAAGGATTAAAAAACTATTGATCAGTTTATACACTCAGAAAAATATGATCTTAGATTAATTTGACCTGATAGTTTTGTGAGAAAAATTATAGCTCATGTAGTAAAGAAGATATGAAAACCAACATATGGTATGACTGAACCAACCTAATGCGTAGAGTAAGAATATTTTGGCCTGAGATGTAATTACAATCTGGTTAAATCAACAAAATTATTATCTAATAATGACTTTTTTACGTTCAATATGAATTTAGTATTTAGTAACGCTTTAGGATTAGAACTAAAATATCTAATTGGTAAAAAAAGTATATTAAAATAGGTTGAAAATCTTAGTAACATAAGATTTTTTATGAGTTATCTATCCACATAAATTTATTGATTTTTTTTTGTTTTGTTTTGCGGTAGGTGGAAAGCATCGAAAACAACAGTGCGAGACTATGAAAACCATCACTTAGAAATAAATGAAGAGGATTTCCACAGCAGTGAGAAGACTTCATTCCAGTAATCAAGGAAGACAGATGTGAACATATAGGCTTAATACCTAGTGAGCTAGATTCAACTAAGCCAGAAAACAAAGGAGTAAATTAGGGAGATAGGATGATGAATGATATATAAATAAAATGAAACTCAGAAATTAGTTTTTCCAGAAAGTAAAAAACATGAAAAGCCACCATGTATCTTTAAGAAAATATTTGAAAAAATATACACAGCTCTCAAACCATGAAGATCCATATTTTTACAAATCGTATTCCGATATTTATGAAAAACAAGTTACTTTTTTTCTGACTTCAAATAAGACTATCCTTTGGTTTTATTCTCAAAACAGCAGCTATAGTGAATTGGATAGTTTTTATTTGATTTAGGTTGGATCAAATCGTCGATAGCTAGTTTCCTAACAGATTTGAGGAAGCCGAAAAAGACAGTGATCCACAAGATCCAGGATCTAATAACCCACTATTTAATTTTTTGTAAAGCACATTGACCTGGAATCCATTGATAGCTAATAGATAGATAGTGTATTAATACCTTGTTTATCCACAAATTTTATTATAAAAAGTCGCATGAATATTGTAAATATGATAATTTAATTTGTAAATGAAAACTTCTTATCTCTTTTATGGGGAATGCCCATATTCTATGTATTAAGTATCTGGAGATTTGTCACAATTTTTTACACCTGCATAGATTTTTAATTTTGACTCAAAATGCGAGTAATAAGTATTTAAATTTGTCTTATAATTTTTATCTTAAGTTGAAAGCAGGGTACTGTCTCATTAGTCTAGATTTGTAAGCGATATATCACCCAATTTGTTTTTACGATTATACTTTTGAGTGTTTTGTGATATCACATGCAAGTTAATTGCAAAATATTGTCAAAATACTGAAAAGAAACCAAAACATTATCTGTCTTCTTTAAGATAAACGAATAGGTAATCTGAATTCTGATGATCTACATTTAAATTAAAAAAACCTTGACTCCATTGATTTTCACGTTATAAATGATAATGAACTATAAAACTACCAGTATACAGCAAGTCAAGATGTATATAATTAATTGACATACCTACATCAAAAAATATAAACTGCATAAAACAAATTTAATTTCATTTTAAAATTGCTTTTGCTTGTTAAAACTTCTTAAGATACTATTCTAAACACAAATATTTCTAGTACTTTCAGATACACTTTCTTTGCAGTCATCTGATCAAAATCTTAGATTTATTCGAATACGTTATTAATGTAACATAATATATAATACTTATGGCTTTAAGCTATATGATTCAACTTTTCAAGACTTCTTCAACTTACGTCTTTTATACGCTTTTGACTGTTTATATAACAGTCATGTATTCGCACGTATAAATTTTCTTATTTATTTAGAAACTTGCTAAAAGTTAAATGCTTTACTTATCACTTCTGCTACACGTAATTCTTAATCTTTTTCACAGAGAAGATAACCTGACCTATTACGCGTTAAAGTATTCCATGAGAACAAGATTTTCAGACGCTGATAACATCTTCAAGCTACCGTAGCCCAATAGGAAAAATAAAAATAGAAATAGGTTTTTAGATTGTCTATATTTGCAAATTATTTGAACAATAACAATTATTTTATTTATTAGCATATTTTTAATATTGTTTGTTTTTTATATCGCAGAATATCGTATATATAAGTTCTTAATCGTCGCATTTCATATAACAGTCCAGTAACTATTTTTGATATTTATTTAAGTGAGCTTATTTGCTGAATGCTATATTCTCAACTCTTCAAGTAAATCATGTTATTACAGTGGGCTTACATATTCCTCCAGTATCGGTGTTACAACCTCAAACGTTTGGATTTTACTTTCTACACCTGCAGTTTTCTTGTATTTGAGAAACTTTGAAGCTAGAGCAGAAAGTGGTACTAAAATACTTTCTTTTTCACTATTTTCTTCAGATGAATTTTCTTCAGAGGTGCTATTTACTTTTGTTTTCTTTCTTGCTTCTCCATCACTGCCCTTTTTACCTTTTTCTTCAGAAGAATTTTCTTCAGAAGTACTATCTACTTTTCTTTTCTTTCTTGCTTCTCCATCACCACCTTTTTTACCTTTTTCTTCAGATGAATTTTCTTCAGAAGTGCTATTTACTTTTCTTTTTTTTCTTGCTTCTCCATCACCACCTTTTTTACCTTTTTCTTCAGATGAATTTTCTTCAGAGGTACTATTTACTTTTCTTTTCTTTCTTGCTTCTCCATCACCACCTTTTTTACCTTTTTCTTCAGATGAATTTTCTTCAGAGGTACTATTTACTTTTCTCTTCTTTCTTGCTTCTCCATCACCACCTTTTTTACCTTTTTCTTCAGATGAATTTTCTTCAGAGGTACTATTTACTTTTCTTTTCTTTCTTGCCTCTCCATCACCACTTTTTTTACCTTTTTCTTCAGATGAATTTTCTTCAGAAGTAATATTTATTTTTCTTTTCTTTCGTGCTTCCCCATTACAAACTATTTCACCTTTTTCTTCAGGCGAATTCTCCGCAGATATATCATTTGCTTCGTTTTTGCTTGCATCTGCATTAGCATCATTTTCTTCAGATGAATTGTCTTTGGAAATATTACTAGCATTTGTTTTCGTTATTGTTTCATCGCTATCGTTTACCATTTCCGATTCTTCAGAAGATTTTTTTTCCAAATTTATTATTTTTATCTGGTCTTCACGAATGCTTTCAATTAAAGCAACATCATCATTTTCTTTCACTAAATCTGCTTCGTCCAACGAACGTCGAAATCTTGGTAGTTTTGACTTATAGTTTAAATATTCATCATGATTTCCCCCATTTTCTGAAGAATGGCCATCGTGTTTAGATTTACAACCACATGGTAAATCATCGGGTATATCTCGTTTATGCTTTAATTCAAGTTGATAAGGCCTTAATGATTGAAAATGTTCATCATCTTTTACAGGCACAGCTGTACTTAATGTTATTAATATAAGTACAGCACTGAAATATTCCAATTTATTTAACATTATTTTTAAATTATTTATTTTATTTTTATTTTAACTTTTTTAACAATTCTTAACTTAACCGTTTACATGAACATCAAAATTATAACTAAAAATCAGATCCATTCATGCAAAAACGTAAGCTTTGAAGAGATCTGCTTATCTTCAAATCTAATACTAAAATAAATAAACAAATTAAATTAAATCGGACTAAACATATGTTGTCATATTTATATATATTTATTTAAAATTATTTATTACTAACATTTTCCTGCAACCAAACTCTTATCGTGCAAAGAGCAAGTACTACGCGTTGGGCAACTCAGTCTCTGTAGGGTTGAATAAGGTTTACATTACAGATTTGCAAGATCAACAAAATATTATATTTTTTACTTATATACTTTTCCCACTAATTATTTGTTTTAAATAAAAACTATAAATACAAAAATTAATTTAGATTTCTTTTTAAACGAATCTTAGACGTGAACTACAACTCGTAGAATTTGGATTAGAAAATCATTTACTTTTTTGTTTATACTATTCAAAAGGTTAAACATAAATCTTAGAATTATATTTTTTTTTCTAAATTTAATGAATTCATCATATATTTAACAAAAACAAATATAAAACTTTTATATAAGCAGCCTTGCAACATGTAATTAATTATATTGTTAATCAGTAATCTGATAATAAAGTCTGACTCACCGATTAGAGAAAATTATATTGCGACTAATTTAAATGCTTGATTCATATGAATCGATTAATACAAAATCTGATACATTTCTTTAAAGTGAGGATTCACCTTAAATATTCTAAAAAGGAATAGATGTCACCGCTATTGTATGGTGTTCTCTACTTACAATTATTTACTTTTTTTATTAAAAAAATAAAGTAATCAAGTTTACTTGACAGAGAAGTTAT